TGGCTCCAAAAATATCTTCCTACACGGTGTGCACACCACACACACACACACACACACACACACACACACACACACACACACGCTCTTAGGCACCAATATTTTGCAGAGTCAGGATCAGGAGCCAAACAATAAGAGAGCCAGAGAATCAGTTTAGTCCTTGATATTAGGCCTCCTCCGTCTAGTCTAGAATTAGGTCTCAGTTCTGGGAACCGAACTAGGAGACAGCAGTGTAGCAAATAATAAACATGGTGGGTAAATTAGCAGATAGAAGGTCTGAAAAGGAAAAAAACAGGGGGAAATTCTTAGAGAAGATAAAGCTGTTAGAGAAAGTATATTTGATGAATATGAAACGCGTTTATCCCGGGTTTAGAAGAGGATTTGCAAACGCCATGATGTACGTGTCAGTAGGTGTTCATTTGTGTAATTGGACAGAGAATAAGAGATCCAAGAGACGCTGCAAAATGACACAGGGCAGGTTTGGGAGAGGAAAGTGCAAGATAGTTTTCCAGCATTAGCAGAGGGGCTGCGATTCAGTATAACTTGGAGTCGAGCCACAGGCTCTGAGGCTTACGGGGGGAGGGGGAGAAGGGCCCTTTGGGCAGACACAGAGCAAAGCCAGGAAGATGTGACTCCGTCCTGATAATTCTTGGGCAACTGGGGGCCTGTGGGCCTGGAGGTTCAATGCAGAGGTCTGAGAATGCGGCACGCTCAGGCCCTGTCGTACCAGTGATGCTGTTGGAAAGCAGGAGGGGCATGTTGTTGGATGACATTCGGTTGCCCTTGATCCTCCCGCAGGGAGCTTAGGTTTGTTGAGTTACTCCCACCATAGTGCTCCCGAGGCACACCCAGTTCCATCAGACACTTCTGGGCATCCATCATATTTACTTGACTTAAGCCTCAGTTGCCCTTACTTCCTGACACCCCCAAAAGGAGGGTCCCAGTGAGGCCTAGGGTGGACTCAGGGCAAGCCATAAGCTACCCTGGCATGAAAAAGGGGCAGACTAACATAAGATGATAAGTTAAGAGCATGGTCATGGAACAAATTCTGTTATAACCCAAAAAAGAGGTAACCTAATAAGGATCCTGCTGGGCTTAGGAAAGACTAACCTGGCCCGAGGACTATAGTTTGAGCTCACACATGTAACGCCGGGGATTTAATGGGGTTGGTCACATTCAAGGTAGGTGCCTTGAACAAGTACTCTCTCTCCTGCCCCAGGGCTTTAAGAATTCTTTTTAATAATTTTTCTTGACATTTTGATTTTTATTCTGAGTTGGCCTCAAGGATCTGAGTCTTTGTGAGGAAGGAATAGTTAGCATATGTAATAAAAAACATCTATTGAACATTAACTTTGGGGCTCTGTCTAGGTCCTTCAAGTATACTAATTTTCTTAGTCTTCATAGCAACCCTATGGGGTACATGTACTTAAAAAATCTATTTCTCAGATGATGAAACGAAGCAAGGGAAGTTTTGCAACTTGTCCCAAGTTGTGAGAGTGAGAGTGGTAGGGAGCAGAGTCAGAATGCAAGCCTGGGCATTTGGGCTCCAAAAGCAACACTCTGAACGCGTGAGCGGGAAGGATCTGGCCAACCCCCATGAAAGGGGCAGAAACCCCCCATCAGGTGAGTTCAGATCCCCGTCCTCCAGTTTGTTCTTCCATTTAGCTGAGCTTGCAGCAGGAGTTAACTGCCTCGAGGGAGCAGCCTAGGAGGATTTCTAGGCAAAGTCATTTGCCTTGGAGGGTCCATGTCCCAATAACTCTCCAAATGTGAGCCTCCCACCACATTTTAAACAGGTAGGTGAAGCAAATACTTTCTGACTTCTAAAAGAGTTTGGAGTATGTCAGAAGTCCACGGCGCAGTTCACCTGACTGCCACTTACGCAGTCCTTTGACTTATGCAGTTACCCTAACTGCAGTTAACGCAGCCATGCAAACTTACTGAGCTCCTACTACAGCCTTCATTGGCTCTTTAAGTTCCAAGGAATTCCACACCTTTGCAGGGTCAGTTATGCAGTTACTTAGCTGCTCTTCCACCTTCTTCGCCTGGTGTCTAGTCGCCCAGACCACGGGGTCCCCACTGAGACATAGGGCTGTTCACTAATGCTGGGAAACACAAGTGAGCTCTGTATTACCGCCCTTTCTGCAGGGCCGGCTGGGAGCTTCTAAGTTCTAGCCTTGCAGAGCCCTAGGGACCTACCCAAAGGCAGCCATCAGCTTTATTCCTCAAGCCTCTGGAGAAAACCTTTGATTTCATGGGGATGATTATTTTTATTCTTGCCCACTCAAGGATAAAGCCCAAGAAACAAGAGGTTGCCCCTTTCAGCGGCATCACAATGGGTCACCTCCAGTCAAACCCACTGTTTTTTGTAGTTGGTTATTTCTGGGTTTGGTTGAGCCTCTCTTGGAAACCATGACTATACAACTTACTTAAAAGAAAGAGTGGAGGGATTGGGCATAAGAGACTCAGACAGAGTGAGGTATGTGTGTGGAGGGGGAGTGAAAGGGGTGGAGAGAATGAATGGGGGGAGGTTGGGACAGGAAGGCTGGAAGTAATGTGTTGTCAGAGAAAGTGCCAGAACAACATGTTGGAGTTATAATCAGGTTTGAATCAATTCCATTTTGTAATGACATTTTTAATCTTTTGCAAAGGCATACTATCCCAAGTTTGACTTTTGGCCAAGCTTGGAGAATTGGAACTGTGGAAGAAGGTTTCAGAAAAAGACAACACACACACACACACACACACACACACACACACAGAGAGAGAGAGAGAGAGAGGGGGGGGGGGGGGAGTAGAGAAAGGGGAGGGAGACTTTTATCCTAAAGTCATTCTAAATCCAAAGCAGGGTTTTATCCTCCACAGTTAAATAAGAAAGAAAAAAAATCAAGACTACCAACATTTGAGGTACAAAGACTGTCATGGACCAGTGGAAGTTCGCAAAATTATATGTAAATGACCAAAGTTTTTACTGTGGTGGCCCTGTGCATTCCCAAAGCTAATCCCAAAGAGAAAATCTACTTAGCAAAAGAAAGTTTTGTCTAATTTGGTTAACAGTTGAGAAGTGACAAAAATGCTGAATATATTAATAATTTATATTTCCAGGGTAACACTATATCTTTTAATGCTTCACTGCCAAGGGAAATTCAGATTGGCTTAATGCTCAGAGGAAATAAAGCCTGAAAGACCTTCTTCATATTCCGTATCCAGCACTGGTGAAAATGGGTGTAAGACATGTGTTGCAATAATAGGCACCATGCATTCTCCCGTTGCTGCATATTTTTTTTACCCCACATTGGTTAGTGTGTGTGTGTTACCCAGGATACCTCCTCTTCACCTTTCATTTTCCAGCTACATCAGTTCTCAAAAAGGTGGAGATATTTATTTGTATCTCACAATTTGTAAGTACATATTATAGGGTTACAGTTTGTGTTATAAGGACTCAAGACCTTGTTTTAGGTTTGTAAACATCCGTCACCTTCAGAAACTTAACACTTGCAAGTTTTCTTTCTTGACTAGTGGAATGAAGTTTTTGCTTTGTTTATTTGTTTTGGTTTGGGCTCTGAATAATGAAGGGAAGTGGTTTAGGAATTGTAGCTCATAAGTCGGTCAGTGGCCTCAATAATTAGTCTAAATCAGAGGTCCCTAAATTTCTGCCCACAAAAACGCACTGAGTTTATTTATTTTCTTCCAGCTAAGCTAAGAGAAGACAAATTGGGGTTGAGTTAAATGGCCTCTGGAAAGAGAGGGAATTATGCTACTTAATTCTGTATGTTTTAGCTAAAGGTCGTCAAAGCTAATAGAACAACAGAAAGACGTTGAGTAAAAAAATAAGAAGGAAAAAAATGGAAATATCTAAAACACAACTAGCTGGTGGAATACCGTGTTCATTCTACCTGTTTACATAATATAACAGCAGTACATATTTTTTCTGTCTGGGTCAAAGAAATCTGATTTCCATTGCTACTTTAAATACATCTCTATTTGGCGGTTATGGGGCAGGTACAACTGGCATGAAAACCACAGGTCCCTAAACATCAGTAGCCAAGTGTGCCCGAGAGCACAAACCTTCCTAAGTTATGGGTGGAATAAATACATTAAAAATCCCACTCGTGAATGGGGGCTGGCAGGGGAAGGAAGTCTTTTCTCACCAGGCTTAAAAGCCTGATCAGAGAACCCGAGTCAGTACCCCGCACTGGCGGCCCCAGGTCGGGGATCTGCTGAGAAGGGAAGCGAGTGTCCCCGTGGGTTTCGCGCCGCCCCAAACTGGCCTGGTCTGTGCGCAAATGGCACCGCCAGCTTCCCTGTTGTTGTGGTGCAAACATCAGACCTGATGGGCTTCTGCACTTCCGAAGTGACTCTCCACAGAGTTTCCAGGCCCGTTGTCAGGGTTGCAACCCCAGCAACACACCCAGGCAGCTGCAATTACTCCGCACACCAGACCTGCGGGCGCTCTGTGCGCGCAAGCGCGCGCCTCTGGAGGTTCTGCCAGTAGGCGAAAAGGGAGCCCAGGTTGGAGCTGGCAAAAAGTCCACCAAGGCAGACTTGGATTGGCGTTGTCTGAACGCCAGGCACGCGACTCCGACCTTCTCCACAGCGCACGTGGCTGGCGCGGTCTGGAGCCGCGCACCCCACGCCGCAGTGCTGCCGCTGTGGACCCTTTCTCGGGTCGGTTCAGACCCAGCCATGGTCCCCTACCCCCACCTGGCAATTGCTAAGGGCTGGCACCCGGGCATCTCTCAGCCCTGCGCCCTTTACACCTGGGAGGTGATGGGTTTTGTAGGAGCCCGAAGCGCTCAAGAAATCCAGCGTGCTCAACCTTAATCAGAAAACGTTTATTGCCGGGAAGAGGCTCTTCAGAAGGCTAATTCACCGTTATTCACTTTTGGCATCCCCCCCAACCCAGTTATTCGCTCCCACCCCCAATTGGTACAATATTTACATCTGTACAGTGCGCAGCGTTTCTGCTCTTAGTGCAGAGGGTCGGGGCGGGCGACTGGCCGTCAGAGCACCTGGGGGTGCTGGGGGGCGTGCAGGTTGAGAGCGCCGGGGTGGGCGTGGCCGATCAGGTTGAGGTAGTGCCGGTCCAAGCCCTGCACGGGTGGCAGAAAGGGGCCTGGCTGCTGCGCAGGGCTCGGGAGGGGCACGGGAGCGCTGGGCAGGTAAGTCAACGGGCTGCGCGCCGCGCCGTGCTGCCAGGGGAAAGGCCCGGCGGCCGCGCCTTGGGGAAACGCGGGGGCCTCTCCCGGGCAGTGGCCTCCGAGGTCTGGCCCCGCTGGGTGCAGCTGGTAGGAGAGATCGGGCTCCGGGAGCGTGGCCAGCGGCTGGAAGGCGGGCTCGGCGCCCAGGCGGGCCTTGGACTGCAGGAAGGCGAGGATGCGCGCGTACTTGGTGTCCTTGGTCTCCATCCGCTCCACCGTGGTGAGATAATGCACCAGGTTCTTCATGCACTCGTGATAGCCGTAGTGGAAGTAGTTGGCAAACTCCGCGAGAAGTTCTGCGGGGGAGGGTTGGAGTGAGGACCAATAAAATAAAATAAAATAAGAGGGCAGTAAAGAAAGATCCGTGAGCGAGCCCGCTCCGACCCGGGACCCCGAGGCGGGCAGGCACCTTCCTCGACGCTTTCTGGCCCCTGTTCCTGCGTGAAGCCCGCGCTCCTCTCCTTCTCCTTTTTACTACCTCTGAGGGCGCTCATCCGTCCTTGGAAGAGCCGGGATCCCACCCCTTCCCACTTTCAGAGGAGGTGGCCGGACCACTCCCCCGCCTTCCAAACTCGGGCTCCAGCACTCCCCTGCTTTCAGGGATCCCGAGCGACCCTCTCGGGCAGGGCAGTGCCCGACCAGGAGAGCAGGCGTCCTGCGCTTGGTTCTCAGCCCGCGGCCGTCAGTGCGCCGCTGGCCCGCGTTCCCAGCTGGCCAAGGCGCGCTCACCTTTCTCGCGTCCTCTGGGGAAATCTGCCGAGTGCAGAGCCCGAAGGTACTGAACCGTCATCTCGAGGATCTCCGCCTTCTCCAGCTTCCCGGAACTCTGCCAAGCAAGCGACAGGGGTTTTCCGCGGCGGCCCAAAGGCGCAGCCCCACCCGGGCAGGCTGGGTGCCGGGTTTGAACTGGAGAGGAACTGCGAGCTTGTGCCGAGGGGCTGCGCCCGGGCATTCGGGCGTCGGGGGCCGAGAGACGCCTCTTACATCCCTCTTGAACCCCCGGATCGCTGGCATCTGGGCCGCCCCTTGAGCGGCAGCAGGAGATGCCCGGCGCCTGGCACCTTCTCGGCCCTTATCAGTACCTGTTTCGCCAGCGCCATGGGCACCGTCTTGCCCAATTCGTTCAAGCAGCGGTTAATCCGGTCCCTTCTCCGCTTCTCTATCACTTTGTGGGAAACAGGGGTGGTCTGCGAACAGAAGTGTGTGCGTTAGGCTGGCCCAAGGAGTCGCCAGAGCTGGGTGCCGGCGTCCGTCCAGCCCCGCAACGCAGGCGCGCTCGCAGGCCCCTTAGTCTCTGGTTCAGGAGCTCTGTCCACTGTCCACTCCCACGCCCTTGCCCCCCTTCCTGCACTGGCCAGGCGGCCAAGTCGCAAGGCATCTCCCAGAGGCTGTATCTCCTCTCGCCTCTGCTGCCTTCCCAGCCCGCCCAGGATACCTCCACACCAAGTCTCGTGTGGCCACCTGATCCCTGCCGTGGGGCCAGCCAAGGGACGGGGGCCGGGGGGGGGGGGGCGGACAGCGGGCAGCACACCCCACCTTCCGGGCAGCGGTCTGGGCTCCGGCCACTCACTTTGCGTTCCTTGAGCTTCTCTGACATCCTCCCGCTCGGCGTGCGCCCTCGGGGCGAGCGAGGCGGTGGCGCACGGCACCCGTCCACGTTCCGCCTCGTGTGCCTGGACGAGGGTCCCGGGTGGACTGCAGCCTCCCCACTCTCGGGGCTGCCTTATAAAGCGGCCATCTAGGGCGCCGCGTGCATTCAGGACTTGAATGATTCCGTAGGATTAGGGGCGCTGCGTTTGGAGGACGTTGCATTCAAGATCGGTTTCCAAGAAGCCACGGGAGGGGAGGGAGGGGACCTGAGCCGCCAAGGGGGGCGAACCGGGGTAGATCAGCTTTGTTAATCCACGTGGCCCTTCAAAGGACACGTGATCGGCGGGGGACTAACGTTTGCCGGGCAACTGCTGGGGCGGCAAAGGCGGGCAGCGAACGCGAGCCGGCGGCCAGTGAGCGGATTTGCCGCAGCCACGGGCGCGGAGCGCAGGGGCGCAGCGCGGCCGCGGGCACCGGGGGGCGAGGACCCACACAAAAACAGTGTCGCCTCCTTTCGTCCCACCGCTGGGTCTCACAAGATGGCCTGTTTACAGATCCCAGCAAGCCCCCAGCCCCAGCGCCAGTGCGTTTTAAAGCCTGTCCAGAGTCATTAGAGTAATTAAGTAAGCCTTTAATAGGCTGTTCCGCCGGGTTCAAGGAGAGCGCTTGGAGACGGAGGCGCCCCGTTTGTTCCCAGGCTTTTCTCACACGACTTGGTGACACGTCCACCTCCCCCCTTTTTGTTTACACCGCTTTATTTGTGCGGACATCCCGGCAGGTGTGGGGCTGCGGCTGGCACGCGAGGCTCCAGCCGCTCTTGGGCACGCGACGCTCCCCCCGCCCCCGTCCCCAGTCCGCACGGGCCGCGTTCTTCCCTCCCCCCCGGACGGTCCCTTCGCGGGGCGGGGGCGGGGGTGGGGGTGGAAAGAGGCCCAATTTGTAGCCTATTATCCCGGACGAAAATGTCCATTGAAAAGTATGAATAGTTTCCTCGGGCCAAATTTTAATAAAGCCGGCGAGTGTGGGGGTTGGAGGCGCAGGCTGGCGTGTGCGCGTGCGTGTGTGTTGAGTGTGCGGGGGTGCTGGGGGAGGGCGGGGAGGGGGCAACACGCAAAAGAGTGGGCCGAGAAGAAAGGGGCAATGCAGCTGGCCCGGGCGAGCATTATGCGGACGTCACCTGCGAGGGGGGCGCCTCCAGGCCTCTATTCATTTGCCTAATTTTGGTCAATTTAACAAACTTCAGGAGAAATTATTGTGGCTTTGTCAGGGAGGGTGAAGCCTTCTGATCGAATTAACAGCGTGTTTTGATCCGGTAAATGTCATTAGAAAGGAAGAAACAATCGCGCTTAGAGGGCTCTGAGTAACGCGCCCAAGTGGAGACGCCAAGGCGCACGGCTCACAAAGGGAGCAAGTCGCTGCCACAGGGAACTTTTGTACCCGCCCCTCGCCCAAGTTTTGACACAAAAAGGCATTATTTCATACTTGAATACGTTTAATCCAACGATTGTCTATTTTCTGCAAACATATTTTCACAGCATTGTTAACTTTTTATGTCCCCCTTTCGCAGGCGCCTTTTCTGAACGTCTGGGGGCGGGAGAGCGCGGACACTTCGGGCATCAATATTTGTCACTGAAAGGGGCTCCGTGAAGTTAGGGAGGTTGATCTCTTTTTTATGGTTTTAGAGAGCGAATATTTCGGGGGAGGAGGAGGGAGGCCAAGCACGACCAGAAATGAGGGGGGAAATTCGCCGGGCGGCGGGGAGGGGAAGGAGGAGGACGGCGCCCCGACGGCCAGCCTGCGCCAGGGGTCTCCTACCCCGCGGACCCGGCTCCCTCCCTTTGGCGGGCCTGGCACGTCACTCTGGGGGCACTCCTGGCCCACGGGGTGGGATTGTTGGGGTGGGGGGAGGTTCTTACAAATGGAAAACTGTGACACGGATTTTGTGCGGGCGTTTTAGGCGAGCCATGGAGAGCTCGCCTTGATCTAATCCGTGCCACTCGTCGACACCCTTCCCTCCTTTCGGCTCCCCACGCCGCCTGCGTTCTTTCCACCGGGCTGGGCGCTGCCAGAGCCCCGGGGGGTGCTCTTAGGCCTGGGCAGAAACTGCCGGGCGGAACCCTCTTGGCACGGGGGACCTGGAGCGCTCGAGGGCGCAGAGCCCTGGCCAGTAGGTTTGGGCCTCCGGGAGGCCAGCGGGCGCCGGGAGCTTTGAGGCTCAGTTCCCCCTCACCCCCTACCCCCCCGGGGGGACTCTGTTCGCCTGGCTTTCTAAGTCTCCTCCGGATCCTGCTTTTCTGCTTTCCGCTGCTTTGGAGCGAGCCGCACCCTCGGGCAGGTTGCGCGGCGGGCCGCGGGGGTCCTCTTTCGGGGGTAGCGATTTCAGCGTACGCACCCGCGCACAACGGGATTAAACAGGCACCCTTCTCCTCCCAATTAACGAGCATGAATGGGTAGCAGGGGCCGCACGCACGGCTCACCCCACCCTCTCTTTAAGCCCGAGGAAGCAGGACTTGATCCTCTTACCGCTGGTGTTAACCGCCAGCTGCAGGCACCTTCCACAGCCAAATTTCCGGCTGGGCTGTGTGCACTGTTTAAGGTCCCACTTCCTCCCGGAGCTGATCTCCAGGGCTTGCCCAGAGCTGCCAAGTGTGGCTTGCAGGGCCCAGGTGAAGACGGAGGAGGGTGGGGGTGGCTGGAGGGTCCCTGCTCCACCCTACCTCAGGGCAGACTGGAAACTCGTCCCTTCAGGTGAGAGAAAGGAGTTGTTATATGCCAGTCCCGGCCTGAAGGCTTGAATAACAATGCAAGGAGGTGAGGGGCCAGGGGTGGGGGTGGGGGACAGACACTGAAGGAGGGCATTTCATCTGCCCTTTACTCCTCCTGAGGATGGTGACCTACCACATCACAGACAACTGCCACCCAAAAGGAGATCAAAGTCAAGTCCCCCACTTGCTGAAGCCCTTTGCAGTTCGACCTCCCTCAGCTACCAACTGGACAGACTTTGGGTGAGTCACTGAATCTCACAGTGCCTCAGTGTCCTCTTCTGTATATCGTTAGAAAGGAAGAGACAGTCGTGCTTAGAACCATGACCTTCCATGATCATCTCTGGAAGGTCACCCCATGAACCCCTAAAATGATATATGTAAACATGGGGAAGACCCCTAAAGAAAGGCTTAACTACTCAGTTAGGGCTTTATTTGCCCTGGAGAGCTCTTCTGCAGTGGGTCACATCTGGTTGGTTTGTGGGGTCTGTGCTGTTGTATCATCTTTTTCATTCATTTCATAGGTTTATTATCCCGAAGAAAGTTTTAATCTCCCTTAAACATCTCCACAATGATGTCTCCGAGGTTTGTTAAACCTACCAAAAATTAGGCGAATGAAAGGAGGTCATCAGGCACCCTTTCACAAGTGACATCAACACCCATATGATCCCCTGAGCTTGCCAGGAGTGGTCCCTGATCCAGAGCCAGGTGTGAGTCCTGAGCACCACCAAATGAAATTTTAAAAAAAAGTGAAGAACTTAGTGCTAATAAAAGATTAGTTCTGGCATAACTTCTACCATTTAAAGGCTTTTTTGGAAGACTCCAGTGACCATTGTGTCTATTATTACTTTACTAAATGACTTTTCTTTTTATATTTTTGTTACCAGAACTTTGTCTTGTAGCTTTCAGACACTGAAAGATGGATTCTTGTATCTTTTTTTCCAATTCTAGAAATTGGGTTTATGGGAAGGGTCTGGAGAAAGAAAAACAATGTAAAGGGTATTCTGGAATTTCAGAAGATTGCTGAGACAGTTCTGGAGGGGGGTAGGGGGAGGCCATGTGAAAACTCCTTAGAGAGACTTAGAAGCACATCTCTTCTGCTTTTCTGTGCCCCCTCCCCTAGACCCAGGACCATACTGAGGGGGTCCATGAGGCTACTCCAGGCGCTGTGTTTGAGATCTTTTCAGATGGTGCTCAGAGGACCATGGTTAAGCTAGCTCTCCACCCTCCCCCGCCCCGACTCTATATCACTGTATCACCGTCATCCCATTGTTCATTGATTTACTCCAGCGGGCACCAGTAACATCTCCATTTGTCCCAGCCCTGAGATTTTAGCAGCCTCTCCTTACTCGTCTTTCCCAATGATTGGAGGCTCTTTCAGGGTCAAGGGAATGAGACCTGTTATAGTTACTGGTTTTGGCATATCGAATACGCCATGAGTAGTTTGCCAGGCTCTGCCTGCATGGTTGGGATACTCTCAGTAGCTTGCCAGGCTCTCCAAGTGGCATATAATAATAATATATATATATATATATATTTCTCTCCATGATTTGTTGCCTACTGTCTGAACTCCATCAAACATGCTGTGGTAATTATGGGGAAAAGGGTAGGAAGTGTCTTGTGATGTGTCTGGAAAGTGGCCCGGAGCATGGCAGCAGTTCGGTAGTGGAGGTCGGCTGATGGGGCTGGGTCCCTTGGGGGCAGGGAGGGCTCTCGCCCACCCCCCTTTGTGAACGTGGGCACCCCAAGTGAAAACAACTTGGCGTGGAGTCCAGTGGCATGGTTATGGGGGCCTCATTTTATACTCCCATCTGGGAGGAGCAGCCATGAGTTCTGGAGGGTGGTCGATGAGGAGATTATCTGGTGCCGGCAGGGTGTGGCTTATGGGTGTGATCCTTGGGTCGCTGGAGACTGGGGGAAGCAGGCAGAGGATCTCTGCTCCCAAGTCCTGTTGAGTCCAGAGTCCAAGGTCCAAAGTTCCGCGTTACCTGGGTTCCATGGGACTTCACTCCTGCGTGAGGCTTGGCTGGCCCAAGCTTCCCAAAAGCGTCCTGGAGTGTGGTGGCAGTTGGGTAGTGGAGGTCGGCTGTGGGGGGCTGGGTTCCTTGAGGTGAGGAGGGCTCTCGACCGCCCCCCTAGGGGGGGTCCCGAGTGGAAAAAGCCTGGCACGGAGTCCACCCCAACTCTATTTCTGAAAATATGGGAAGATGGGAATGAAGGAATCAAACTTTTGGGCTTCATTTCT